ATTAAATTTAACCAGGAAAGCAAGTAAATTAGCATGCAAATCCGTGGACCGCTCAGCTCTGTTCCGAATGATGAAAAGATGCATGCTTGAGTTGCCTTGCGCGGAATCCATTAATGCCCGATTCGCTCTGTTTGCAATTAATGCCGGAATGCTATGCAAGGCTTTAGAAAGTGCTGTTTCTGATTTGCTAACAAAAGAGCAAGAAGGCACAACAAAGTATTTACATATGTATGCATGACTACTACTCTTCAGGGAGTGTAGTCCTCGATCCTCGTACCACCAATCACGCATCTCGATGCATGATAGGGAGTTGAATTGCACGACTCGATGTGAATGAAACACATATAAACATAACAAGACCTAAACTCATATGGGTATCCGGAGTGTCGGCAATCGGAATTAAGACGTTCCGTCACTCGGAGTACGAAACGTCCCTCGTTTCTGTGCTTGGGCTAACTCCTATCCCAATATAATGCAAATGAGATGCATACACAATGCGATTAACATACAACTAGCATACGCAATGCTATGAAATGGCATACACAATGCTCGATGTAACATGGCATACACAATGCTCTAACATGCAACTCAGCATACACAATGCTATGGACCGAATGGCTACACAATGCACGATGGACTTACACAACATGATGGACCTCAGCCACCACTTACATCAGTGGCCATTAGATGAAAAATGAGACACGAAATGCGTGCACACATGCACGAATACCAAGGACCGAACCTAAGGCATCAAATGCCACTCTACCAAAGCATGGCAAGGGATGAAAGATGGCATACAAACATGCAATTTCCAGCACTGAAATATGATGCACAATGGTCCCGAATCATGGAAATATGGCACCCAATGCATGAAAGAGGCCCTGAAACTCAAAACTAGGCAAATGCATTGAACTATAATCATGCAAAGCAAGCATTATTTGATCACGAAGAATAAAAATGGAGCCAAGGTAGTCCCAAAATATGCGCAATATTAGTTCAAAGCATGGCCGAAAAGTGCTAACTTGAAGGGCCAAAACAATATGCAACATCGGCTAGTGAACCATGAGTTGTACTACACCTATATGAAGCATATGAGATCTCACTAAACCAGCCAAAAATAGAAGTATGCCATGCCAAAATATGCCCAAATACTCACTGAAACTCAGTCCATGCATGCAAGAATGATGGGCACCTTTGGAAAGCCATACAAGGGGTTGTTCTACACATACATGATGGACACACCAAATGGTAAAACTACCTCTGGACAGAGGTTCTGAGGGTCCTAAAACCCACTAAAAAGAGCCTGAAATGGGTCTAGGAAATATACAAATAAAGGCCCCTTTGAAAGGCCTTGAATGGGGTTATTCTACACATGCATTATAGACACAAAATATGGCCAAAGGGGCTCTAAAAAGAGTCAAGGCATACCTTAAAACTCACAAATAATGGCCTGAAACAAGACTTCAAAGCATGTAAAATGGAGCTCCTTTGGAAGGCCAATAAAGCTAGTAAAGAGAACAAGGGGTGAGAGGGTCACCCCTCTCTGATTTTGAAGCTCAAAAAAGGCCAAACCAAGGCCAATGCAAATGCTCTAATGCATATCCCTAAACATGAGGAAATGGAGCGTACAAGGGGGAAGATGACCCCACAAGGGGGAAGATGACCCCAAACAGAAAAAAGTTCTTAAACAAACATGTTTAGAAGATCAAAACAAGATTTTTTTCAGTTTATGTTGAAGTCCAAAAATGCTTGCAAATAGGGCTAAAGAATGGAGCAAAATAATATCAAAATGGGGGAAATGAAGACTTACCTTTGTAGCACAGCAATGTAGTAACTTCTGGACCAAGAAAGTGAGCTCTCAACCTCTGAAAATCAGTTCCAAGGTGGTTGAATGGATGGTGGAGGCGGTAGGCTAGGAGGTGTAGTGTAAATGGTGCAAGAACAAAGGGGTTTTGGAGCTTAGAAGAGAGAGATATGGAGGGAAGTGTATGTATGCTCTAACCAAAGGGTTCAACCCTAGCAATGGAAGAGAAGGCCTCCCTTTATAGAGAAAAGAGGCCAAACCTTCTCTAAGAAGCTTCAAACCAAGCTCAAAGATCCTTCATACACGTATGGAGGATCACTTTTGAGGCTTCCAGCTGGCACAGCTGGCTTACACTCAAATAGACCAAAAAGCAGAAAGTAGGCCGACCAGTTAAGGTGGTCGGCCGGCCACTCCCCCTGGTCGGCCAACCAGGGTCAAAAAGGTCAAGTTGAAAAGGTGGTCGGCCATACCAGATTGGTGGCCTCCCAGGTGAGTAGAATACAACTGTATGGTGAGAAACCAGAAAATGTGACCTAGGAGAGAGAAAAACTAGCTTTTTAGCAAGGTTCAAAAGGGTCAAGAAGAATTACTGGTCGACCTACCCATATTGGTGGCCTCCTAGATGAGCACAACACAATGGTGGTATGAAAAACCAGAAATTGTGGCTCAAAAGTGAGAAAAAAATCGGCTTTCTGTCAGAAAAACCGACTGGAAGAGAGAAAAAGAGAAAGCTGGTTTCTAAGGGGAAAAGGTGGCCTCCCACCATACTACCACCTCCCTAGCAATGAAAATAGGGTCCTTACCAAAAATGGACCAAAACGGATGCAAAACGAAGGTTCGGGGGCCAAAACGCGCAGTCTAGGGCCCCGAAAACAGGCTGTTAGGTACCGGAAGTGGCGTGTGACCACGAAGGTGGTCTCTCGGGCCACAGTGTCCCTCAAAAGAGATAAAAAAAAGTGTGTGCCAAAAACCGGAGCAAACGGAGGTAGTTAAGCGGTCCCGAATCGAGGCACACGACCGACAGCTCCAAAAATCGGAAACTGGTCTCCAAACGGGAAAAATGGCCTACGGCCACGAAATGTAGCCTACGGCCACTGAGAGATGGTCTACGAAACCTCTCCCTCCCTTCGGGAAGAGAAAACAGAGAAAACAGAATCTGGTTCGCAAATCGAGGCAAAGCACAAAAGAGTCCCAAAGTCTGGAGGTAAGGCTCACAGCCGAGACTCTGAAACCTCAAAACGAGCACAATATGCATCATCACCGAGCGCTCAATCGGTGACGTCTGAGTCTTAAGGTCGGTCAAAAATTGGGTGTCTACAGTAACACTCCAATCAATATAATTTCAAACGTAACACTGCAATGTAACACACAAATACTAAAAAATTCTTTAATGTAATTTTTCTAAACGTAACACTCACAATTTGAAATTATACATTTGCTCAAAACTTACTAAGGAATTTTGTACTCCTTTTGAAATGGTTTGAAAAATCCCACATTCTTTTGGAATGGTTTGAAGAATCCCATTTTTTTTTTGAGTGTTACATTTAGGAAAAGTATATCAATAAGTTTTTTTGTATGTTACATTGGAATGCTATATTCAGAAATTTTTTAGAGTGTTATATTGAAGTATTACGTTTGGAAAAAGTACACTAGATTTTTTTTTTTGAGTGTTACATTAGAGTGTTACGTTTGAGTGTTAAATTATATATTTGTCCAAAGTTTACTAAGAGATTTTTATACTCCTTTTAAAATGTTTGAAGAATCTCATATCCTTTTGAAATGTTTGAAGGATCCCATATTTCAAGTTATTTTTGTACTCCTTTTGAAATGTTTTTCCAAATAAAAAAAATTCTCATATAAAAATTAATTCCAAATTTGATTATCATATATTATATACATTACATTTCTAGCACAAAAGGGAAGGAGAAAAAAAAAAACATAATAAGAGTATAACTGTAAATTTAATTTCTAAATAATATATTAAATCTACCTTTCTAAAATCAATGGGAATAATTGGTTTATAAGAAAATTCTTGGAATTAAATGGATTATCATTCCTCAAAATGAGATTTATAGATAAATTTTTCATAAGTTATTACAAAATTATGAAAAATTTTATAATTTTAATTATTAATACATATATATATACATATAAAGTTTACCATTTATCTGTAAATCGTTTTCAAAAACATATACTACGGAGTTATTTGAAATGATCTAAATAAGTATACTAATAAGAGTATAGCTGCAAATTTAATTTCTACATAATATATTAAATTTACCTTTCTAAAATCAATGGGACTAATTAGTCTATAAGAAAATCTTTGAGACTAAGGGTGTGTTTGTTTGGACGGATTGGATAAGGGGGGATTGTAATCCATCGGACTATTAGTCTTGGGACACATTGTCTCAGGATTATTTGGTTGGATTGGATTTGTATCCTATGTTTGTTTAGTCATGGGATTAGATGTCTGGATTAGACTATTTTTAGTGAATCCAATATTTGGTTAGACGGACTGGATAATGATAAATGTTCAAAAGACTATTTTACCCTTGTAATTTATAATTTATAATTCTTATTTAATATATAATTTTAAATTTGTAATCTATAATTTATAATTTAGAATTTAACAACACTAAAAAAATTTAATTTATAAGGCCATAATTTTTAATTTATTGTTTTCAATTAAATTAAATTTATAATTTATATTTTTTATTCAATATATAATTTTAAATTAACGACAATAAAAAATAATTTTATTTAATACATAAATTAAATTTTCAACACACTACTAAAAAAAATACTTTTTGCGATCGCTATAAACTGTCGCAAATAATAAAAAAACAGTTGCAAAAGACTTTTTGCGGCGGCTCATGCGACGACAAATGGGGGTCGCGAATGTGGGGGTGGCAAATACTTTTTGCGACGGCAAACCGCCTAAACTACTTATGGCGACCGCTATCTTGCCGTCGCAAAAAACAAAGAAAAACACTAACATGATTTTTGGCGACCATCTTGTTACCGTCGCAAAAAAAAAAGAATGAAAGAAAAAAGTGTAGCGTTAAGCACTTTACGAATAGCAATGACAAGAATTCAGACAGTATAGCATTGTAGTTTAATTAAACATTCCATTTGAGTCTCAAAATTTGAGCCATATGTGAAAGTTATTACAACTAAAAACTTGGGAAAAGTTCTTTTATGAAAAAAATACAATCCAGAACTGGCCAATTTTCTCATCAATTTTCTTGCTTGAGTGTTTCTCCACTCTATTGATGAACTGGCCAATCTTCTCATCAATTTTCTTTTCAAGTTCCACATCACCACATTGCACCTATGCAACAAAAATTTCAGGCATTAATGATAAATATTATATACTGCCAAAATAAAAATTATAAGGATGCCTAAAAATGATTGTCTTACTTCCCAAAAGTCATTTTCTGGTGCCATCAACATCCAATCTGGGATGCAATAATTCGAAGGGAAAACACTTTAAATTGGAGAAACTCTCACCTTGTCGATAATAGCCTCAACAAGTTCATCAGTTAGCTTCACGTCGGATTCCATCATAATTGCAATCATCTGAAAGCAATTGTTGTTTTACTCGTAATTCATGAATGAAATTTAAGGAATGTGCACAGTTTAGTATGATAAAAAAGGTCACAAACCATGAAATTTCACAAAATGAAAATGCAAAAAGAAAAGGGCATCCTTAAACAAGCTGTAGAAATAAAAAGGTCTAAGGAAGGCCAGCTTTCAACTAGTTTTTTTTATATCACTTCTCTTTTCTTTGTGTCTCTCAATGAATACATACATACACATATACCTCCAGATAAAGGGCTAAATTCTGTTTTGCACTAAATTGAATGAATTCAAGGCCTTTGAAATATATATATATTTGAAAAGTTCCAAGCCTTTCAAATATTGCCCAAATCAAAGAAACATGACTAACTAAACTTTGAAGGTTTGATCTTCTGTCCTCGAACCACTAATGACAGGAAAGCAGCAGACAAACAACATGACCAGTTGACTGCCTTAGCAAAAGCATGATAACAAATGCAAACTTATTTTAATAAAAAAGATTATATTCATCTAGTCGTTCACACATTTGTCAATAGCAGTAACTTTAAAGCATAAATCAAACCAAACTAAGCCTTATGTCCCAATATATTAAAAATTATGGAGCAAAGAATTGGCCATCAAATCATTTATGTTCTTAAGGTCCCCAAGATCCTGATAAATTGAGGCAGCCATTGGTTATTATGAATGTTTTATGTATGAGAGTCAAACATTTATGCTCATATGCATGCCCATAAATATAAGCACAAAAGGGAAGAGTATTGTGACATCTTTTACAATGCGTGTGTGTGTGTGTGTGTGTGTGTGTGAGAGAGAGAGAGAGAGAGAGAGAGAGAGAGAGAAAGATCTACAAAATACAAAAACTTATGAAGCACTAATTTGATTCAGAAGCTTGCAACTTGCAAGCCACCTTAATAATGAGTTCAAAAAGGTTCGAAAACCTCCAAACACAATTAGTGTATCAACTATCTATGTTTCTCAGAGCATGTATTTGTCTTAACATTAGTTGTGGCAACAATTGCTAAGTTTACAGTGCATAATACTTACTTCTTCTCGCTCAATAAACCTAGTTTGCCTCAGATCGTAAAGCCTAAAAGCGACTGCAGGGCATCATGAAGGTAACACCAAGTGGTTAAGTTCATGAGATTTGTTTTGATAATAAGAATAAAAAGATTGCATCTGATCCCAACAGTCTATTTTGTCTTCTGTGGGAGCATAAGGATGGAAGACGTTGAGTGCATGGACAAATTCATCAAATTCGATGACACCATTTTTCCTTTCATCAAATACATTAAAAACCTAGGAAATCAAAAGAAACAATAAGTATATTAACTTATCCATACTTTCAAAATAGCAGTATGAATAAATTAAGTCGTACTTCACTCATGAAAGACAAAAGGATAATATATGTACAAGTTGTGTAACCCATTTAATGTAACATCAGTCTTCTGCCAGACCAGAAGGCTTAACCTAGGTACTTTAGTTTGATTGTTTCTTTATTCGTTCGCTCACTCATGAACATCCAGATCTGAAATCTACAAATCTGTTCATATGCCATATCTAGGCCATTATCAAATAGGAGATGTGTGGGTGAAAATCTGACCACACTGCCCGCCCAGTAATCAGCTGGAGAGCACCGGCAGAATAGATGGCTTTAGCAAACCTGTAACAGAAAGAAAAAGGCTCCTGGCAGTGGCTCTTCTACCCGGGGGCACTCCGACGATCAAGTCAGTATATCTCTCAAAGATAATCAAGTGCTAAACTCACAAGCTTAAGCATAAAACTGCGTACCTTAGACCCACGGGGGTGCTTCTCTTTTATAGTTTACTCAATCCAAGTCATACTAGAAGCCTGACTTCTATGGATTTCAATTCAATACTGACTTTGGACTCTTCAAGAGATAAAGATAAACTCCCTAAGAGTTTTATCCTTATCTTTAGCAAAGTCTTCTCTTTACTCTAGGACTCTTGTCCCTTATCCGCTTATCTCGGATTCTGATATCTTTGGAGATAACCTCGGCCTTGCCAAAATAACCTCGGCACAACTACCACGACACGTGGCACCTCGGCTGACACGTCGGCGTCACCATGCCACGTGTCGGTACTCAGAAAATATATCTCCACAACTGCCCTCTAGGTTCTATTACCTCGGTATCTGAGGTGATGGAACCTATATTGATATTTCTTTCTGCATATTTGGCTCAAAAACTGTTTAGCCGAGATCATTCATTTCAGGCCGACGTGTTCTCTTCGGAGAACAAGAACTCAAACAAATTCCCCCACGCGCATGAGCTGTCATGCATCTCTTCTCAACCGTTCCCCTTACGTGTTCTATCTTTATTTGCCCATGTCTGTGACGCGCTTGTAAACCGCCTTTTCACCTGTCTGCGCCGTCTGACGCATTCGTTCCTCCAGGCGCAATAAATGCCCTGTTTTGCCGCCGTTTCAAGTTTTTGATAAAACTTTCCTTTCCATCCTCATTCCTTTACTTTTGCATTCGATTTTCTGGCTCTCTCTCCCTCTAAACTTTCTCAAACCCGCCATTGCTCTAGCTCCAAGCTCTGCAACTGTCTTCATTCTTCCATTCCAATGAAGCTTTCGTCGTTCCGTTTTGTCTGCAATCGTTGCCTTACTTCGGCGACTTTCATTCCGGCTTTATTTGTTCTGGTAAGCCTCTGTTCTTCTTATTCCCAATTTCTTTTATGTGCTTTCGTTTACTTACTGCCATTTATTGCGCTGTTCAAACCTTTGATTTGCTGAACTACTCATCTGGATGCGTCTATTCCATGATTTTACTCATATCTTGAACACTTGCACTGTTTTTAATACTTTTCTTGCCACTGTTCTTGACCTTTTACCTCTGTATTCCTCATGTTCTTGATAGCCCATCCCTATTCTCGTTTCTGAAATTTCGCCCTTGTTTTCTGTTTTTTGTGTCTTTGCCAGATCTCTGCCCTCTTTTCAATCTTTTCCCCCGTAGTTTTAGGTTTGGGATTTGTCTATAGAACCTGTTAATTTCTTAGGAAAAAACTAAAACAATCCCTACCAGTATATACATAGGGTTTTGCCGAGGTCCTGATAACCCCTTTAGAGCACCTTCTTTCTGAAACCTAGCCCTCTGATTCTAGGCCGACGTTATGGGTATGTGGAGACATAGGGTAGACACCCCGACCAAACTTGAGTACTTTAGGCGGGAGTTCTCTATTCCTGCCGATGTCCATCTGAGGCTAGCTGGAGTACTTTAGGCAGGAGTTCTCCGTCCCTGCCGATGTCCACCTGAGACTGGCTGGGGATGATGACTCCATCATGCCTACCGAAAACACCATGCCTCTCCCTATTGTAGCCTTTACTGAGTGTGGACTTCGGCTTCCACTTAACATTTTTTTTTCGCGAGATTCTGCATTATTATAAGTTGAACCCTATGCAACTTGCCATAAGCTCTTATCGAGTGATTTTTGGTATTATCGCCTTAGCCAGACAAGAAAACGTTAGAATCACCCTAGCCAACATACAGTATTGTTACATCATGTGCCCTCTTAGCCTGAAGGAAAAAGGTTACGTCTACTACCTTAAGCCGAGGTCCACTGAATTCAAAATCGTAGCCGACCTCCCAAACTCCAACAAGGGGGCTGGAGATGACTACTTCATTGTCTCTGGAAATTGGGAATTTGCCCCAGATGAAGATGTCCATCTATACCCTCTTCCTCGAACGGTTAAAGAGGGCAAGGGTAAGAGCCCAGTGTTATTTACTTAGTTGTTTCTTTTCAAGTCTCCAATATTTCAGCTGGAGAGCACCGCCAGAATAGATGGCTTCAGCAAACCTGTAATAGAAAGAAAAGGCTCCGGCGGTGGCTCTTCCACCCGGGGGCACTGAAAAAGCTCCTGGACTTGCCTGTCCACAAAAGGAAAGCACCTCTTCTTCTGAACTTTATTCCTACGTACAAATCCACTCTGCCCGACGTCCTGAAGAAGAAGAAGAAGAGTCTTTCTCTACCTTCTGCTACAACTCTTCCCACTGCTTCTACATCACGAGCAGACCAAGGATCCACTTCTGACCCAGCAAATCTGCCATCTACTTCAGCCCCATACTTAATCCCAATACCCGAAAGAAGACGTCGGCGTTGACTTGTCAAGACTGCTGAGATGGGTCGCCCGAAGCCTGTTGCCCAAGATCTCCTAGCCGACCTCCCAGTTGATGCTGATGTTAAACCAACCCAATCCATGCCCCTACCAAAGCCAAAAAGAACCAAAAAGGCTCAGCCAAAGGCCAAAGCCACTGTAGTTGAGAATGAAGATGCTCTGCCAATTTCACAATTGGCTGGGAGTAAGAAGACTGTTTCTACAAAAAGGTCGGCTGAAACACAGCCAGCAGAATCTTTAAAGTCAAAGAAAGCGAGGTCGTCCTCTGCAACGGCTTCGGGGTCCAAAAAACCCGACGTCCCTTGGGCCCCAAAGATTACTTTGGAGGATAGGCCAATCATGTCTAGTGAAAGCGCCGACGAAATTAATGTCGGCGTCGCCCTTAGCACTGCTCTTCTCCTTCCAGGGGACCTGGAGCGAAATGCTGAGTATAGTGAGTATGAGAACTACGCTTTAATGCTCCAGTACTCCGTTCAAGTAAGTGCTCCTGCTTTGAACTTTTGACTTTCTTTCTGTTCCATACTTAAAATATTTTCCAACATTTCTATTTTCTTTCAGGCCATCCAGCATGCCCATTCGTTTTCAATGCAATCTTTTAAGAATCGGGAAAGAATGACCGAGATAAAGAAGGAGTTTTCTGCCCTGCAGAAGACCAACAAAGGTCTTCAACTAAAAATGAAGAAGCTGGAAGAGCAGGCCGAGGCTGCAACTAAGGCCCAACAGATAGCTGAGGAAAAAGCTGAATCAGCCGAGGCCATAATGAAGGTTGCTGAAGCCGAGAAGATAGAGGCCGAGGATAGAAAGGCCCAAGCCGAAAAGGAACTGCAGGAGGCCCTGGCCACCAAGGATGTCGAAATTAAAGAGGCCGATGAAAAGGCATACGCCCATGGTATGGTTGACGTTACTGAAGAATACAAACTTTAGGTCAGGCAGGCATGCAGCAGGGGCTTCTCGCTTGGGTGGATGTCCCTGATAAAGAAACTTGATCTTCCTGCTAACTCACCCTTCCGCAATGTCGATGCTATTCCTCTGCCGTTCCCCCCTCACCTCCAAGTCAACCTGAAGATGCTTCTGAATCTGAGGATGAAGATGGAGGTGAGGACGAGGATGAGGCTGAAATTTTGGTAAGGAAACCTAAGGATGCTGTTGGGACCAAATCCCTTCCTTCAAGTTCGCAAATCATGGACTTAACTCAAGATGATGTAGGTGAAGGGGTTGCCAAGGAAACCACTCTAGAGCACGCTTCATCCGACGTTCCTCAAATTGACAAGAATATTGATGAAACTCTTGCCGAGATCGATGCAGAACTTGCAATGGAGAAGACGACCGAAGTAGCTCTTCAAGAATCTGCAGAGGTCCAAACCAAAGTTGCTTCTGAGGCTGAGGAACCACAACTTTGATGTCTCTCTCTTTTTGTCTTTTGTACTTTTTTTTGTTTCCTGGACAATATAAGTTTCTTCACATGGCCAATGTTCCTCCTGTTTTTGTTGAATGTTTTAATCTTCAATTTCTCTTGATTGGTTCTGCATGGTTTCTATACTTAGAATATTTTGCATGCTTTACATACTTCTTCCTTCCTTGTGCAATCTTCTCGGGGTTACATACCTTGGGTATAATAACTACAAAACTTTTATTTCGGCAAGATACTGACCTGCAAACTTTTCATAATTTTTGACCAGTATGAAACATATACTACTCGATGTTTAACTTTTGCAAACTTTTTCTCAAGTTTCAACAAGTATTTAAACAGTGATCTCGGTCTAACCTACTTGGAAATTGCTACAAATTTCAACAAGTGTTAATATATACTGTAAATGTTTCTCAAGTTATAACAATGATCTACTTTTAAATTGCTACAAATTTCAACAAGTGTTTAAACAATATACTTAGCTTTTACCTCAACTTGTAAATTGCTGCAAATTTCAACAGATGATCATATGTCGGCTTAACATTATCTTGTAAATTGCTACAAATTTCAACAAGTAAATTAAGGAATAATCTCGGCTTAACTTTGAAATTTGTAGCAATTTACAAGTTGAAGTTAAGCCGAGATTATTGTTTCTCTTCACTTGTTGAAATTTGTAGCAATTTACAAGTTGAAGTTAAGCCGAGATTATTGTTTCTCTTCACTTGTTGAAATTTGTAGCAATTTACAAGTTGAAGTTAAGCCGAGATTATTGTTTCTCTTCACTTGTTGAAATTTGTAGCAATTTACAAGTTGAAGTTAAGCCGAGATTATTGTTTCTCTTCACTTGTTGAAATTTGTAGCAATTTACAAGTTGAAGTTAAGCCGAGATTATTGTTTCTCTTCACTTGTTGAAATTTGTAGCAATTTACAAGTTGAAGTTAAGCCGAGATTATTGTTTCTCTTCACTTGTTGAAATTTGTAGCAATTTACAAGTTGAAGTTAAGCTGAGATAATCAGCTTAATTCCAACTTGTAAATTGCTACAAATTTCAACAAGTGAATTAAAGAATAATCTCGGCTTAACTTCGACTTGTAAATTGCAACAAATTTCAACAAGTAAAGATAAGGAATCAGCTTAATTCCAACTTGTAAATTGCTACAAATTTCAACAAGTGAATTAAGTGTCTCTGTCTTCTCTCTGCCCCCAATGTGAACCTGAGTTCTACTTGGGTTCTCATTATTCAAAAACACCAATATGTAACTTTATTAATCGTATGTGTTTTAAAGAAAAGGGAAAATTATTGATGACATCGGCCAAAAACAGTGCACATCTAATGATAGAAGAATTTCAAATTACAAGTGTTCCAAGGTCTTGGCAGTGCTTTGTCCTCGTTATCTTCTAGCCGATAAGCTCCATTGCCTAATACCGAAGTAATTCTGTAGGGTCCTTCCCAGTTTGGGCCAAGCTTGCCCTCTCTGGGATCCTTCTTGTTGCCGACGACTTTTCTCAGGACTAGGTCGCCGACTTGAAAATCTCTTGGATTGACCTTCTTGTTGTAAGCTCTGGCAAGTTGTTGCTGGTATACTGCGAGCTGAATTGCAGTTTTCTCTCTTCGTTCTTTCAAAAGATCCAGATCTCGAGCTAAGAGTACGTCATTGGTGCCATTCTCTACTCCCTGGGTCCTGATCCCAGGGATGCCAATCTCCAATGGGATGACTGCTTCCGTGCCATAAGCCATGGCAAAGGGGGATTCCCTTGTTAATCTTCTCGGCATAGTCCGATATGCCCAAAGCACGTTGGGTAATTCGTCTACCCACTTTCCTTTTGCTGCCTGCAGGCTCTTCTTTATCCCATCTAAGATTACTTTGTTGGATGTTTCTGCTTGCCCATTACTTTGGGGAAAACTTGGTGTTGAAAAGTAATTCTTGATCTTGAATTTCGCACAAAAGTTCTTGATGAGTTTGCTGTCAAACTGTGTTCTGTTGTCGGCAACTATTGCTCTTGGAATGCCAAATCTGGTGATGATGTTTCTCCATATAAAGTTCTTGACGTTCACATCTCGGATTTTGGCAAGAGGTTCTGCCTCTATCCACTTCGTAAAGTAATCTGTTGCTACCAGCAAGTATTTTCTCTGCCCAGTTGCCTGGGGAAGTTGCCCAACAAGGTCCATGCCCCATTGGGCAAACGGCCAAAGGCTGGATACTGGGTTCAGGTCAGAAACTGACTGATGTATCAAAGGTGCAAACCTTTGGCGTTGTTCACACTTCTTCACGTAGGCTTCAGCATTCTTTTGCATGTAGGGCCACCAATACCCCTGGGTAATGG